ACTGGACATAATGATTTGACGGAAGTGGAAGAGCGAGCTCTGTACACACTAAAACAGGCAATAGAAGAGGATCCAGATGATGCAGTTCAGTGGCATTAGCCTGGCGTTCACAACCTTTGTACTCTATAGTTCAAGACATCTCAGAAGTACCTTAAGGCTGCAGTTGCCCACGGCAAAGAATGCAGCTATGCATGGTCAAATCTTGGTATCTCACTGCAGCTGTCTGAGGATGAACCCTCTTCATTGGAACCTGATCCAAGAGGGAAAAATCACTCCACCTATCCGGGATTCCTTTGATTGTGTTTCAAGACACCTATCCTGAATTCGAGCTTGAGGACAAGCTCGTAGTTCAGGAGGGGAGTAATGATGTGGGCGCCGGCAGCAACAGCAGTAATTTAGTGTTCTCAGCAGCAGCAATTTAGTGTTCTCATCCTATCTTATCTGCTTTTAGTAGCAGAGATTAGTAGGAGTCTTATCTATTCAGTTCAGTAGTATGGATTAGTAGGGAGTCTTATCTTATCTTATCAGTTCAGTAGGATAGATTAAGGAAGTCTTATCTTATCTTATCAGTTCAGTAGGATAGATTAGTAGGGAGTCTTCCTAATTAGCAAGGAGTCTTCCTAAAAGTAGCTGAGAATATTGAATAAGATCATCGAAAATTTCAGTCAAGAAAGAGAGCAAAGGAGAGTTGGTGATCTCTTGGACAAATCACCTTTTAGGGCGGCAAGATAGGTTCTTCAAGAAAAGGGAGGAACAAGGGAAAGCAGGAGGTTTTCCCCATGGACCGACCCGTGACGAGATCCTATTCCCGGGCCCATAACAATTTGGTATCAGAGCAAGGCGTCATGGGTGACTTTGAGCAATTGACGTCTAGGGTTCATGATCTGGAGCACAAACTCGTGGAAAACAGCAAGGGGGTGTGCAAGATCAAGGACGATGTCCGAGAATTAAGGCGCTTGATGGAGTTGTACTTTTCCAGCAAGGAAAGGAACCCGGAAGGGGCTGCAACCACAACCGGCCGTCGGCCAGACATGGCAGAATCGTCCGGCGAGCAGCAGGTCATTGCCCTAGCATAGGTTAGCAACACCCAGAATGTTCCGATTAAGCAGGAATCCGGTATCGTCGAGGATTCCATCGACGAGAGTTCAAAGAAGAATAAGGGCAACTACTCCAAGGTCGTCATCGCTGGTGAAGGAGCTTGTATGCCTCATGTTGCAGCTGCAAATGTTGCAAAAGAGTGTTTGTTAGCTGCAGTC